TTAAAAGATAAAGAGAATTTTAAAGACAGAAAGGGAAAAACAACTAATCACATACAAGGAAACTCCCATAAGACAAGCAGCTGATTTTTCAGCAGAAACTTATCATGATAATACTTACAGTGCAAGGAAAAACCTGCAACGAAGATTACTCTACCCTGCAAAGTTATCATTGAGAACTGAAGGAGAGATAAAGTTTCCCAGACAAGCAGAAAGAAGCTCATCACCACTAAACCAGCTTCACAAGAAATGTTAAAAAACTTCTTTAAGTGGAGTATAAAAGTCCATAACCAGAAATAAATAGAAAAAAAAACCTCACTGGTGAAGGGAAATATATAAAGGCATTGCATCAGCCTCTTAAAAACAAGGATGAAAGTTAAAAAACAATAGCAAAATCAACAATAACTACAATAAGTAGTGAAAAGACACACGAAATAAAAAGACACCAAAAATAATGTCAAAAATGTAAAACGTGGAGTAAAAATGTAGTGCTTTTAGAATGTGTTCAAACCTGAGCAAGAATCAGTTTAAATTAAACTGCTATAAATATAGATCAAAATATCCAAACTTCATGGCAACACAAACCACACGCTCACAACAGATACACAAAATGCAAAGAGAGGAACCCAAATATAACACTGAAAAAATCATCAAACCACAAGGGAAGAGTCCAAGAGAAGAAAGGAACAGAGAAGAATTGCAAAAGCAGCAATAAGTACATACCTATCAATAATCACTTTAAATGTAAATGGACTAACACCTCCAATCAGAAGACATAGGGTAGATGAATGGATTAAAAACATTCATTTATATTCTGCCTACAAGAGACTCACTTCAGATTTAAAGACACACACCAACGGAAAATGAAAGGATGGAAAAAGATATTCCATGAAAATGAAAAAGAAAAGTCAGCTGGAATAGCAATACTCATATCAGACAAAATTGACTTAAAAATAAAGACTGTAACAAAAGACTTAGAAGGGCATTACATAAAAGGGGCTATAACATTTGTAAAAATGCATGTACCCAATATATGAGAACTGAAATGCATAGAGCAAATATTGAGACATAAAGGGAGAAACTGACATTAATACAACAATATCAGGGTACTTTAATACCCCCACTTACATCAATGGAGAGATCACCAAACAGAAAAATTAATTAGGAAACACTGGCCTCAAATGACATGTTAGACCAATGAAGTTAATAACTATATACAGAATATTCCATTCAAAAACCACAGAATACACATTGTTTTCAAGTTCACATGGAACATTCTCCAGGTCAGATCACCTGTTAGGCCACAGAACAAGTCTCAATAAATTTGAGAAGACTGAAATCATACCAAGCATCTTTTCCGACCACAGCGGTGTAAAACTAGAAATTAATTACAAGAAAGAAACTAGAAAAAACAAACATGTGGAGGCTAAACAACATTCTACTAAACAATTGGTCAATGATGAAATCAAAGAGGAAATTAAAAAATACCTTGAGACAAATGAAAATGGAAACACAACTTTCCAAATCTGTGGGATCCAGCAAAAGCAGTTCTAAGAGGGAATGCAAAGAAAATACATGTCCACCTCAAGACACAAGAAAAACCTCAAACCATCTAACTTGACACCTAAGGAAACCAGAAAAAGAACAAAGACTAAAATCAGTAGGAAGAAGAAAATAATAAAGATCAGAATGGAAATAAACCAGAGACTTAAAAAAAAAAAAAGCCACCAATAGAAAAGATCAATGAAACTAAGAGCTGGTTCTTTGAAAAAAAAAAAAAAAAGAATGAAATTGATAAACCTTTAGCCAGACTCATCAAGAAAAAGAGGGCCCAAATAAAATAAAATCAGAAATTTAAGAGAAGTCACAACCACTATCACAGAAATACAATCATAACAGGCTACCACAAACATTTGTACCTTCACAAACTGGACAACCTAAAAGACAGAGTTCTGTTTCCTAGAAACAGAATCTAAGATTGAATCAGTAATCTAAAAACTCCTCACAATAGTCCAAGGTCAGATGGCTCCACATGTGTATTCTCTAATACATTTAAAGAAAAGTTAATACCTATCCTTCTGAAATTATTCCAGAAAATGTGAAGAGAAAGAAACACTACCAAATGCATTCTATGAGGCCAGAATTACCCTGATACTCAAACAAGACAAAGACACTACCAAAAATAGGAAGAAAGAAAAGAAAATTATAGGCCAATATCTGTGATGAACACAGATGCAAAAATCCTCAACAAAGTATCTGCAAAATGAATTCAGTGAAGCATTAAAAGGATCATACAACATGATCTCATGGGATTTACTTCATGGATGTACAAATGGTTCAAGATCCACAAATCAATGAATGTGATACACATTAACAAAACAAAGGGTAAGAATCATATGATCATCTCAAATAGATGCAGAAAAAACTTTTGACAAAATGTAACATCCATTTATGATCAAAGCTTTCAAAAAAGTGGGTATAGAGGGAACATAACTCAACATAATAAAGGCCATAAACATAACAAACATAACAAACCCACAGCTAACATCACACTCAATGGTGAAAAGCCGAAAGGAAAGCGTTTCCCCTAAGATCAGGAACAAGTCAAGGAGGCCCACTCTTGACAGTTTTATTAACATAGTATTGGAAGTCCCAGCCACAGCAATCTGACAAGAAACATAAAAAACATCCAAATTGGAAGGAAGAAGTAGAACTGTCATTACTCGCAGTTACATTATATTATATGGAGAGAACCCTAAAGACTTCACCAAAAGACTATTAGAACTAATTTTAAAAATTCAGTAAAGTTGCAGGACACAAAATTAATAAACAGAAATCTCTTGCATTTTCTAAACACTAACAATCAGAAAGAGAAATTAAGACGACATCACTTACAATTGCCTTAAAAAGAATAAAACACCTAGAAAAAATTTAACCAAGGAGGTGAAAGAGTTATACTTTGAAAACTGTAAGACACTGGTGAAAGACACTGAAGATAACACAAAGAGATACTGTGCTCATGGACTGTAAGAATAAGTCGTTAGAATATCTATAAATTGTTATCCATAAACATCCATAAAGTATCCACAAATTGTTATTGTTAAAATATCCATACTACCCAAAGTAATCTACAGATTCAATGCAATTCCTATCAAAATACCCATGGCGTTTTTCAGAGAATAAAAAATAATCCTAAAATCCTAGCACAGTGCCTGACTTGACACACAAGCACTTGCTGAATGAATTAAAAAAAAAAAAAAAGAAAAGAACCCAATTTCACTTTATATAAAGCTTTCTTACTTAGGTCCTAATGGTTTCCTCTAGGTTCACCTAATGCACTCCCCTCAGATTTTTTAATGCTTTATCCAGTATACTTTCAGATCATATCTGGAACAATTTAGCAAACTCTTCATGGCCCTAAACTCCATTTGTGATTTGTTTCTATTCCTTAGGTCCTTTAAGGCCAAAGAGAACTGAAAAGGAACTTCAACAACTGAGAGAATGTTTCCAGACCAAGAGGAATGAACAAAGCTTTCTTCATACCTTAATTCTGGATGTGGTCAAAATTGTCCAACAGTATTTAACACTATAGGTGCTGAGTAAGTGACCCTGATACCGAACTATAAGCCATTCTGTAGAAAACACGTGTCTCTTCCGAGAAAACAAAGTCTGGACTCTTCAGCATGGCATTACTTGTTCATACTCCAACTACACTACTTAAAAAGTTCTTTTACATTTTAAGCCTTTATACTGTCCTCTTTGCTTGGAAAGCCTTTGGCCATTTGTGCCAGTCAACCTAACTTCTCCTTCAAAACAGTGTCAGTGTCTTCACCTTTCTGCTGTGCCTTACTCAAATTAATAAGTCCTTCCTCTGTGTTTGAAACTCGTACTCTATTACTTCTCAGCTATTGCAAGACAGTAGCTATATGGTGCTATTTTCCGTATCACCCAAAGCGAAAGAGTAACTTCAAGAACTTCCCTTTTCACAGCACTCATCACAGGCTTTCTTGTTAGTTTCTTTCATTACCTATTAAGCTCTGTGAGGGCAAGGAATTACCTGGGTCCTGTTTACAGCTGCAGTTTCTCTAGCACAATATTGGCACTTAGCAGAAACTTGACATCTTTCGAATGAATACAGGTTCCTAAATCGCCAGAATCTCACACCAAGAAGGCTGAATCTCCCCAAATTAATACGAGTAGGTGCCCAGGATCCTACAATTATTGCCCCCGCAACCCTGTGGTCATCAACATAACACCCCTAATTCCCGGCTGTATCAGAATGTTGCAAGCCACCGGCAATGTCACACGAGCACCTACCATGCTCATGCTACGCGGATGGAAAAGTGACCACTACCAGCATCCGGCCTCAGTTCAACAGCTAGGGCTGGGAGGGTTCCGATTTAAAAAAATAAAAACCAAATAGCAGAGGCGCGGTTCTAGGCCACAACAGCCCTCGTCTAAGCAACAAACCTAAGTCAAAGTTTGGAGGGCTCCAGGTCTCCCGAAGAGAGGCGACAGCCCGCGGCGGCGACAGATGCGGCAGAAACCGTGCTGGGCCTCGCCTTACGGGCCGCAGACGACCCGGAGGGAGAGGGGACGCTCAGGGTGGCCGGCTGCAGGAGGCCCCGGCCAGCAGCTGAAAACCCCCCTCATGTGTCCGGCCTGCTCGCCCCCCTCTCCTCAGGGACTCGACGCCCTCCGTCACCCGCACCCCCACCTCCCCGGACCCGTCTCCACGCCCCCCGGCCCCCTCCACCTTAGCGTCGGCACTCCTCCGCCGGGAGGGTGGTTCGGGCCGCACTCCAGCCTCGCAGCGCGGTTTGGGCCGCCGGCTTTTCAGCGCTTCCCCGCGCTACCACCGAGAGGGCGGCGGGCGAGGCTAGAGAGGCTCCGCGCTACCATGAAGAGAGGCCCCGAGAGAAGCCTAGAGCGGAACCGAGCCTGGCCGCCTCCGGGGCGGAAAGGGCGGGGCGGCGTGAATTGGCGAATGATTCAAGGTGAGGCAATGGTTGCTTCAGAAGCTGGTTTGCTTTTGCCGTCTGTTCTCGGACGTTAAGTAATTGGGCGGTCCCTGAGGCTGCCTCTTAACAAGACACAGGTTTGGCTAATTTGAATTGTGTTCCAATCTCTACGTCTGTGCGTGACGCCAAATTTTTTCACCCCGACCCGCCTAATCCCTGAAGGAGAAGTGAATGAGTTAAAAGGACTTCAAGAGGAGACCTTTCATTTAAGGTTTCACATTTTATTTGATTTTATTCCTTAAAGCGAGATATTTTATAAAATACATCTCCTTTATTATAGACTAGAAAAATAGCTATGGTTATTACTTCGAGTAAAAGGTAGGCACCAGGGAGGTGCTTGTGAATTTTCTGAGGGGAAGCCAAACCCTGTATCTTGTATCCCTATTGTCTGTCCCAGTTTAGGAATGCATTAATTTTTCAAAGCTAGATTTTATTCATCTAGAATCGTTGCGAGCTCAAAATCCCTTAAACGGAAGGGTCTCAGCCTTCAACCAGTTTCAGGTGGAGGTAAGGGGGAAATCCCTCTCCTCCCAAACTATTGTGTTTTTTTTTTTAACCAGCCAAGAGAAAAATGTGAGGCAGGGAAATAAAGTAAGGTCCACCAAAGCCCAAGCTTACTAGTAATGCTGTAAGCAGCTACCTTAAGTTGTTTTTCTCAACGAACCTATCGTCCTTTGTAACACCTCCATGTTGCTTTGCAACCAGGCAGGGTTTTGCCACTCACTAAATTACACCAATTTTTAGAAATGACGAATGGGAGAAAGGCAGGAACAGTGTGTAATTCTCTCAACTGTCTGCAAGATGTGATACTCAGTAGTTCTAGTAGTTACTTTGTGGCTGGTACTTTGCTAAGTTATAATGACAGAAAAACACAAAAACAAAAACAAACTTGTTCCTGCTTTCAAAGAGCTCTCAGACTAGCGAGAGAAACAGGAATGAACAGTTAACCACAGCGTTGTGTGATAAATGCCATCCTAGAGACTCAAGGATATGAACAGGGTAAAATGAGAGGTACTAAAGCAGAGACATCCTGGAAAGAGATTAAAAGCCTGAATTGAACTGTCATGTGGAAAACTAACCTGATGCAGTGGTGGCCTCCAAGTAAGCTGTTAGGCAGTCTGTCCTAGAAGTAGTGAAACAGAAGGCTCCCGGACCAAATTCAGGTGCCTGAATAACATGGTTTACTGAATCAATGTAAATATCCAGCGAGAAGCAAGGGGAAAGAGTTGGAGTAGGTTGACACATTTAGGCTAGGATGCAAGCAAGTGGAAGGGCACCATCACCTGAGTAGTGAGTTACATGGTGCTCATGTGTTCTGTCTGCCACAACAGCTTTTTCCACAGATGGTATGCTTATGAGGACTAGCGCTGAGACTACAGCAAGGAGACCCACAGGTGGAAAGTGCTTTGGGCCAATGGCACACACCTGCTTTCTTGAATAGACGCCGGGAAACATGCCTGGCCGCAACCAGGTCTTACTAATTAGCTCAATAAACAGACATGAGTTTTTTTGCATTTCTTGGCGAGAATATTGAGTGAGACTTTAGTAGGTGTCACGTATGGATGGCTGATTTAAGAGTGACATAGCTTTTAGCCCAGAGATGGCATAATTATTCATATCTTAGTTCTTCCATCCCTTTTTGACTATAAATGACCCTCTGTTCCATCACATTTTTTGATTTATTTTAGCTTTGGTATGCTTTATAGTTTACTAACTTACCAGGCATATTTAACACAATTCTGTCTGTGTTTCACAAAGTACATGCTTACTCATATTCTATATATAAAACATCCTAGGAGTTTTGCATTTATCTCATAAGCTGTTAGTGTACTTAACACTTCTTCTGACTAACACTTCTGACTTCCATCCATCCTTCAAGAAACTGCAAGGAGTTCACTATAGCTGGGGTGGGAAGCTAGAGATATAAGTAGAGGAAAGATAATGCCCTTTTTATGCTGTTTTAGAGACACTAGATTTTATCCTGGAGAAAACTGTAAAACTGTAAGGAGTGTGGAGAATAGAGAAGAGGTGCAGTCCTGGGCAGGAAGGCCAGGTGGAATCTCTTGCCCGAATGCAAGTCATTAAATAATGAAGATGTCAGTCAACTAAGGCTGTGGCTCTGTGGAGTGAGAGCTGATGCCCCTACTCCAAAGACATTTGGTAGTGTCTGGAGACACTGTTGTTAATTCCAGCTAGAGGATGCTACTGATATCTAGTAGGGTGAGGACCGGGAAACTGCTAAACATCCTATAGTGCACAAGAGAACCCCTCACAACAAGGAACTACCTGGTTCAAAATTTCGATAGTGCCAAGACTGAGAAACCCAGAACTAAGGGAATTAAGAAAGCATAGAGAAGACAGAAGTTAAGCAAGCAGATTTAGTTAGAATTTGTAACTGATTAGATATATATGTGAGAAAGAAGGTCATGTGCTAAAGAACCAAGAATTAGGGAAACACGAAGGATTAGCAGAAAATGGGTCCCAAGTTTGGGATGAGATGGCTTGGCGCTCTCAAGGGGAAATGGGAAATGAAAGCAGATGGATTCTTAGTAACTGCTTTCTCCTTCTCTTCTTTTTCCGTAAGCTTTCACGTTGAATTTTAACATATCATAGAGAAGAACACAAGCCTTAAGTCAATAGCTTGATGAATTATTGTATCCATATAACCACCACCCTGGTCAACAAATGACCAATAGCCCTGAAACTGCCTTTATGTTGCCCCCTAGTTATTGTCACCTGTCACCAGAGGTAACCCCCATTCACACTTCTTCTACCACAGACTATTTTTGCCTGTTTTTGACATTTGGAGTTGAGCTAAATATTCAATTTTGTGTCTAATTTCTTGTGCTCCACATTATGTCTGAAATCCATTCGTGTTGTGTGCAGTGTAGTTCTTTGCCATTGCTGAATTGTATTGATCTGACATGAAGGTGAGAACATTTCATTTTATCCATTTCACTGTTGATAGACATTCAGTTGATTTCACTTCTCTTTTTACAAAAAATGCTGCTGTGAACATCTTTTGGTTAACGTATGTTCACACTTTGTGTGAATGTATGTAGTGCGTGTGGATACGTAGTGGATAGTGGAAATGTTGGATCGTAGGCAGTGTGTGTGTTCAGTTTGAGCAGATACTGACAAGGAGTTGTGCAAAGTGGTTGCATCTATTTACAGTCCTTCCAGCTCCAATTTACACTCCTAAACATGTTCACCAGAACTTGGAATTATCAGCTGTTATTTTTGGTTTTCATTTTACTCTGGAGGTTGTGTAATTAATTGTTTCCTAACACTAAGTTGCTTCTGTGTGTCAACTCAGGGCAAAAAACAAAACTCTATATGGGCTCTGGAACTGGATGCCTGGTTCAAATCCTAGATCAGTCACTTATTAGTGGAATAACCTCTGTTATTTACTGTAATTCTCTGAGCTTCAAATCCTTGTCTATAAAATAGAAATAATATCATCTGCCTTATACGGTTGTTGTAGGGAATAAGTATGTGTAGCAAGCATATACACATATTTTGTGTGTATATGTATATGTATAATACATAATATGTTAAACTACAAGCCTTGGCCCAAGGTGGAATTGGTCGTGCTAAGCCCCATGTCAGCAAACCAAAACTTTAATAAAGTTTCTATTCTTGGCTCTCCCAAGAAGGCCGAGGTCAACCTATCAGTGCTTGCATACTCAGCGCAAATTACCTAGCCAGGCTCCAAGACTTCCCCTTTGCTCCAGACGAGGAAAATATCCTTGCTTTGACCAGGCAGCAGCTGCCTAGCATGACTTCCCTGTTCTTGCTCCCTTCTGCCTATAAAGGTCTTTCATTTTGTACAACTCCTAAAATTAGATCCAGTTTAAAGATCTAATTGGCTTTTTTCAAGGATTCATGAATTGACAGCATCCCTTCTAGCAACTAGAAGGGCCCTCCAAGGAGTGGTACAAATTGAAAGATTTTTGTAGGAGGAAGGATGGGGCAAGGGAGCTATTTGCAAAAGAAAAGAAAGTATTATTTTTATACTTGGACTTGGGAGGTGGGTGATAATGGCAAGGATTTTATCATGCAGATTGCCTCTTCCTCTGAGGGAGATGGAGAGGGCCTTTGTGACAGATAACCTCTATGGTGCTGACCAGAAAATTCCAAACTGATTGAGTAAGATTATATTTCTGCAGAATGTCAAAACTGCAGTTAGATCAGGTATTAAATCTAGGTTTGGTATTATGGGTTTTATATGGTTTTCTTTTTAATAGTGTATGTAGTCGGCCCTTCATATCCATGACTTTGTATCCACGGATTCAACCAACCGTAGATTGTGTGTGGTGCTGTAGTATTTACTGTTGGGCCAAATGATCCAAGGACAAAAGTCCAAGGACCCCATTTCTGGGCTCTCAGATGTCTGTCTGCCTGTGATCCCTCAACAGATAAAAGTACATTATTTACTGGGTGTGTTTCCACTAACAAACTTATAGCCCTAGGTAATGCCTAAGCTCACAATAGCTCAGGATGGCTTGTTTCAGCCCACCTTATCAAACGCCACTGCCTTTCAGAGACCCTAAACCTCTTACCTCACCTACAGCCAATCAGAGACTTGTGCACAAGGCAGTTAGGCACCTTGAGACCAACCTTACAAAAGACCCCAACAACTGGCCCTCGGGGCTCACACAGGCATCTCTTGTCTGTGTGGCCCGCTGTTGTCTATGGCAGTGTAAGCCTAATAAACTCCTATTTCCAGACTTTATCTCTGGTAAATTCTTTTACCAAGCCATGTGTCACCATGTCACCAATTGGCAGCCCCGTTGTGGCCCACAACATTTACTATTGAAACTAATCCATGGATAAGTGAGCCAGGCAATTCAAACCTGTGTACGTATACCTCTATGGTATTATCTGTGTGTGTGTATACCTCTATGATATTGTTGACTTGAGACAAATAGACTGCTAGATGTTTCTCCAGTGAAGATGGGTTTATTCAGGGTCAGGAGAGAAGTGCAGTTTGGGTTCTGCAACCATGGAAGCCAACATGCAAGTCCCTGAACAGCAAGGGTAGGCAATGCTGTTATAGAGAGGAAGGGAAGCTGGGAGGGCTACAGTAAACAAGGATTCCATGGCTATTCATCGGCTGAGTCCTTGCCAGAAAAGAAATCTTTCTTTCTGTTGGGCTCTGCTGTCAGCACAGGGTGTGAGAACTCCCCTCTTCTAGTCTCCCAACTGCATTCGGTTGAGGTTTCTGCTTCCTAATCTTTTATAGTTCTATACACACACACACACATATACACATATATATGGTATTTTTAATATATATACATATATGGTGTTCTATATATGTAGTATTTTATGTATATGTGATGTTATATGTATAAATCTGTCTAAGGAAAAAAAATACTTCTTCCTATGGGTTTTTCTTTACACTATATACTTCTCTACTTCTGACACCAGATGTGTGGATTTTCCATACACGAAACAATTCCTCAACACCAGCTGATTGTCCTACAATTTACCTCAATTGGTAATTCTGACACTATTTCCCTGGAGATAGTGAAACTGAGCAGGACCCTATGGGGCCCTTCTGGGTACAAAAGCCTTTTAGTGTCCCGTTTCTTGTTCGTAAAAAAGTTTGGCCTCCTAGACTCCCCCCAAGTTCCAAAGGGCAGGTTCAGTTTCTAACTAGGATGGTAAGGGAATGCAGAAACAAAGGAGGAGCCATCAAGAAACAATAGTGCAGGAACGGGGCAGGGTCCTGGTTCCTGCACTATTCCTCAGGAAACATGTATAACAATAGCTCTTTGAGTTCTACTGGAACTAAGGCCCCCATCTAGGTGGAGGATGGTAACTTCAGGCTGAGCAGGAGAGTCCTGGAACACTGCCCTGTTACCTCACCACCAACCAGTCAGAAGAAAGTCACACACCCTGCAGCCCTCACCCCAAATTTTGCCTGTGAAAACTTTTCCCCAAAAACCATCATAGAGTTTGGGGTTTTTAATTGTGAGCCGCCCATTTTGCTCATTCTGCTTGCAGTAAACCTTTCTCTACTCCAAACTCTGACGTTCGGTTTGTTTGGCCTCACTGTGTGTCGGGCATGTGAACTTGTGTTCAACAAGTGTCAGACCCACAGGGTAAGGGTTCAGTCCCGCAAGACTGCCCCCTCCCCACTTCAGATATCAATCATAAGTCCAAATTGTTACCTGTGCTTCTGACCCACTGGCTGTAAATCTGAGGTTCCCATGTTCCCCTGGTTCCATTAATTTGCTAGAGCAGCTCACAGAACCCAGGAAAACATCTTACCAGATTACCAGTTAATTAGAAAAGGATATTGGTCAGGAACAGCCAGATGGAAGAGATACGTAGGGCAAGGCAGGTAGACACAATGGCAGAGCCTTCTAGGCCCTCTCTGGAGCACAACACTCTCCCAGAACCTTATGTGTGTTCACCAGCCTGGGAAGCTAAGGAAGCACCGTTGATTAAATCAGTAGCCATTGGCGATAGAACTCAATCTCCAGCTCCATTCCTCTCCCAGAGGTAGCCGAAGGCTTAAAGTTCCAACCCTCTAACCGCATGGTTGGTTCCCCTGACAACCACCCCTATCCTTTGGGGCTTTCCAATGTCCCCTCATTAACATAAACTCTAGTGTTGTTCTAAGGAGCTTGTTCATCACTCTTATCAATTAGGAAATTCTAAGGATTTTAGGAGCTCTGTGCCAGGAAAGGGGACTGAGGCCATATATAAATTTCTTATTGTAGATCACAATATCACTTTATATGTGTGTTTATATATATAAAGATCTCCTTCATATATATGAAATATATACCTGTCTGCCACAAGAAAGCTCTCAATAGTTGGTACCTATAATTGTTTTTGCTACTATTTATAGACCAACAGTTATATCTGGAAATGCTGGAGTGATCAGCTCACACATGTCCTCTCATTCCAGACATGCTGTATTTCAGTCTTAAAGGATGGATATCAAACTGAGAAATGGAGTTATCTGAAACTGTATCTCTAGACTTCTCTCACTACTTTGTACCCTCCTTCCTTGCAAAAATATTTAAGAGTTGGTTGATTTAAAGAAATGTGATATAGGGAATTTAACTAATAGCTGGACAGTAAGACAGATTGAAAGTGCATTTTTAGCTGCTTCTGATTTTTCTCATTTGAAGCAAAGATTTCAGACTGTTGTGGGGGTGGCGTGGGGAAGGAAATGCAGATCTGTTCACAGCTGCTACTCAAAATTCTAGCCATAAAGCCAGGAGAGAATTTGGCCCAAGTTAAAACCACAGGGCTCTCCATTGCCATCCCAATCATTAACGTTTCAATTAAGATTCATTTGAGTGTCCACAGTGTGTCACTGCAGCAACGAAAGAGGCTGATGATGACAGGGAAGGCTTCAACCATTTTGCTTATGTCTGAGAATGACTCAAATGGTGTAAAGAAAAAGCAGAAACATTCTGTAATGCAACAACACTTAAAGTCATAAAATATAAGAAAAAGAAAAGTATCCAACAATTCTGTTGTATAACTTCTTCCTTTAGAGGTTGATGAAGCTCAGTTCCAGAAACGCTGATGTTACACACCCAGTATAAAAGTCACAGTTGGTAAAAGTCACACAGCCAGGAGATCACGGGGAAAGCCAGCCCTCCTGCCCAGGTCTTCTAAGTCAACGTGCAGGATTTTTTCCTCACTCTCTCAGGGTGCCTCTCGATCTATAAGTAAGTATCATATTCTTAGTAAACCAAAAAATGTGCTATTACATATATCTCTGTTCTTTTGAATTACTCTCTTGGAAGATTAGAAACCATTGGAGCCTTCTTGTCCTATGCTTTCTGTATTAGCTATCATTACTGATAGGGAGGGAAGACACTGATGGCTTTGGGGCATGCTTTGGCTTTAGGGGGTGCTTATTTAGATGAACATATGAACAAGTCTGAGTATTTTGGGGTTTCCACGAGAGAACCCTCGTTTGGGCCTCTGGGCAGGCCTTTGAAGAGCAATACTACCTTGAAGCCAGCAGAGGGCGAGCAGAACATTGTTTTGCAAATTTTCACCAAGTTCCTCCTCACTCTGTTATACCTTCTCTTCATTTTTTTGCACACACTGGATAAATTCCTTGACAGTGGTGGGAAAAATACCTCCATTCCCTACACTTTTAGGGAGAGCAGAGAATGTCTTTCTCAGTGAATTGGAGTTTTATTTAACTTATTGGTCAGTAAACTATCAAACGAGCTGGGTTTGGAAAGTTCTTAAGCATAGTAGTTTTTTTGTGTGGCTTTCACATGCTTTTCTCCATAGTATTGGGTTAATTAAGTGATTTTAAATATGCATAATCAAATATATTATACAGATTCTCTCACTTCTAATAATTACTTCAGAGAAAAAACGACACTGTCATAAGGTTTGGAATTATCTCCCTAGTCACTTGATTTTGCTGTGTAAGAGGATAAATGTGTACTGACTTCAAAGAAGTTTGAAATGATGACTTTTTATAGCTACAGTTTTAGAAATAAAATTCATGTGTCAGTTAGTTCAAGTAATCATCCACTTGTTTTTCCAGAAATCTTCAGTAAATTTACAGATTCGTTATTGCTTTGTTTTTATATCCTCAGACTTTGGGGAATCAAACTAAAAATGATACATACTTGTCTTCAAGGATTTCATGAGAGACTGAGACAGAAATATCATTGAAAACTTTAAGGGCAATATTAGACAATTAGACATACATGTGGGGCAGTAAATTTGCACAGAACATAGGCATTTAACCCAATCAGGGGGATCTGGAGTGCTTCCTGGAGTTGGACCACCTGAGCTGTCATAAAGGATCAGTAGGGATGTATTCTACCCTATATATTCCTTAGTCCACCCTGTTCTCTTTCTTCAGCTTTTCTGGGCACTTCCCTCCCCTATCTACATGGTTATGGGAAGAACAACCACTTGATACACTATGACACTGTGTGCTGAGGCTACAGAATTTTGTCCAGGAGTGGACACCTCAAACTTGTTGGGCCAGTCGGTGTCTCCTTATGATTTTTCAGTATGGGCCCCCATGACGCTTGAGAACTGTCAACTGCCTTGTTTTCTGCCCTTTGGTAGAGAAGAAAACAACACAAATCTGAGTTAAACTGACCCTCAGAGGGAGAAGCAGAGACAAGCTGTGGAGAGAATGCATGTTCCCAGCATTCCAGCCTCTGGTTCTGTTGTTACCTATAATAAATGTGCAACCACTTACCTGTCCTTCTGTTTCATGAGACAGCCCAGTATCTTTATCATAAATTTCTTTTTCTCTCAAACTAGTTTGAGTTGGCTTGCTTTCCTTTAAACCCATAAGAATCCCAGCTGGTATAAAGAGTTACCAAAGCAGAGAGAGGGTGAAGGATGTTTCAGGGGCCACAGGAACAAAGGTATAAAAGTTCAAAGAAGAAAAGGCATGTATACAGAAATATAAATATTTCAGTATTATTGAAACATGGCTTAGCACGCTTTCTCTCTCTCATCTTAAGAGATGCAGTGGGTTATCTGTCATTTTAAGGAGTCTGACTTTACCCTGAAGGCAATGAAGTGCCATAGAATGGTTTACACAGTGGGTGACATAGATTTGTAGTCTAGATAGATCACTCTGGCAGGAGTTTCTTCAACAGTTCTCTCATCTCGGAGCTAGTCATGTGTTATTTCCTCACCTAGGAACCTCCAGGAAGGGGATGGGACCTTGAAAATGTGCTCTCACTAACCAGAGCAGGCCCTAGGGTCATGAATTTCTGTCCCTCCCATTTAATAGTATGTGACAGTCCATCCTCCCCTCCATTCTGAGAGTACCACTAGGATAGGGGCCATGTCTGCTTTGTTCATCATGAATTCCCAAGGCCTATGTTAGTACCTGGAGCAAAATTCATTAATATTTGGCTAATAAGTGAGTAAATGAGTAAATGATTAAATAAACAGTGATGAGGTAGATAGATAAATTCAGGATATGTTTTGGAAGTTAATAGTCAGGGCTTGATGATTTTGATAAAACTAGCTGTATTTATTGAACATTCATTATGTATTAAGCAGGAGGCTCAGTGCTGTGCATGCATTACTTTATTTAATCTTCACAACAGTTCTCTGTGTAATGTACCATACCTTTACCCATTTTGCAGATAGGGAAAAAATAAGCTTAAGGAGACTAAGTACTAGATTGAACTTATGAAATTGCCATCTAATAATTTGCCCAATATAGTTACTAAATCAGAAACAGGGACCGGTTCAATGCTAATGTCTAGATCATGATGCTATAGTACTGCACATAGATGTAAAGCGTAGGGGAGAGAGGGGAGTCAAGAATGATTCCCAGCTTTCTATCATAGCTGAATTATGTTATCCCCAGCTGGAGAAGAGAACACAGAGCAGGAGTACTTCTGCCAGTGGAGATGATGAATTTGATTTGGGACATAGAGAGGGTGAGGCCTGTGGGATGACCTCAAGACAGTGTCCATCTGCAAGCTAATGTGTATGGGTTTAAAAACACCTTTGCTGAAGGATTGGATTCACTGGTCATTAAGTTGTCAATAAAATAAAAATACAAAGTGAGGTCTAGGAAGGAAAGTAGGTTGTGTACAGTGAGTCCTGGGTGGAGGAGGACACCTTGGGTGGTATCACATAGGAGACACAGAAGTGATTGGCAGAGACGAGAGAACCCAGTGCCATGGGGGAAAACAGAAATAGGGAGTTTGGGAAGGAGGAAATAGGAAGGTGGGCATGGTATGGTGTCATATGCAGTGGAGAGGGCCAGTAAAATATATATTGAAAAATATCGATTAGGTTTGCCAACCAGGAGTTTATTGATGACCTAGGTAAGAACAATATTAGTCAAGTGGTTTGGCAGTAGCCAGACATGCGGTAGAAAAAATGATTGGGAAGTACAGCCAAGAAGAAGAATCTTTCAAGTATTTTTCATTGAGAAGAAGAAAGAGGCCAGATGTTAGTTAGATGAAGATTCTGGGAGAAAAGACACTTTTTACTTATTAATTTATTTTTAGTTTTTATTTTAGTCTTTTAGGGAGAAAGGGACAAAAGTATGTTTACCAGCTGTGAAAAAGAAGCCAGTTGACAGATTGAAGATACAGGAGAGGGTATTGGAGGTAAGGCCTCACAAAGGAGGGAGGAAATAAGAAAAAGCTCCAAGGTGGAGGAGTGTACCTTGAGTAGGAGCTGGGACACTGAACTTCTGGCCTTAAAGGAAAGTAGGTGGAGATGTATGTGAATGTACGCATGGAAGACAATTCTGACAGACATGCTGCTCAAAGGGCCTGATTCTATTGATGTAACGGGAAGTCAGATTATCTGCGTTAGAAGAAAGTATAGTCGTTCCTCGGTATCTGTGGGGGATTGGTCCCAGGACCCCCACAGATACCCAAATCTACACATGCTCAAGTTCCTTATATAAAATGTACAGTCAGCCCTTTGTACTGCGGGTCCCACATCCTCGGGTTCCACCAACTGAGGATAGGAGCCCGAGGATACAGAGGGCCCACTATGGGACAGTCATCATGCAAGCTGATCAAAGATGAGTAAAAGTGAAACTGAATGAAGATTCAGCCAAGGTGAGAGATCATATTTGGAAAGAGTAAGCTTTAGTATAGTTCTGAGGTTTTCTCAATGCTAAGCTTTCTAGTTGACTGGAGTGGACTCAGACCATCAATTGGTCCGAAGTTTGGTTTTTACTGGGACAGGTGTAGTTGAAGTACAGTTGTACAAATGAATCAAGGATGCTGTTGACTGCATGTAGCCCCTAGGAGCTAGAGGCTGTAGTTTCAAAGTTCTCCTGGGGACTGAACACAGGCTTTGACTTGTGTGAGGCAGAAAGTTAAAGCTGTCTCTCAGTGAAAGGGGAATTAGAAAAACTGAACACTAATACTAAAATATAAAGACAATTCCCCTGAGAAATCAAAGCTCCAAACATTTTCCATATGCA